CACATGTTGTACAGTAAATAATAACAGTATCACTTTGCTAGTAATGGTGAAAAGAGAAGTGACAAACTCCTCAAGGGCTTGTGGGCACAGCCTGTGTGGTTCAAGCTGATGAACACCCTTGGCATTTGCTAGTTTCATGATGATTTGTGGTTGCTTTTGATCTTCAGCACCTGCGAGAAGAAAGTGGAGCCTGTGTTTTGCTCTCTACTGCCTCAACAGGCAGATGGGTGTTCAGTAGATCATTCCAGATGGGAACACACTCTGTCCAGTTTAAGCTTTCCTCTTTAGGATACTGCAGTGTACAGTAGATCTGTGTTCGGGGTGTAAATCTTGGCAGGTGGATATTTGTTTAGCTATCGTTATGTTGGTCTTGGGTATTGTCTGGTGCAAAGTTGTACAACAAAAAATGGCAAATTGTAAAAAGCTGACAATATATTTTAAATCCAATGGTTAATCAATAGTACATGAACTGTTCTGGAACCAAAAGTTTTGTGTAAGCAGCTAAAATGTACTTTCCTCTGCAACTTGTGGTACTCCTGAGGATATATTTTAGATGTTTAATGCCTGTTTTTTTGTGTCTGTCTTATATTAGTACTTTAAAACCACTGCAGGCTGTTAGCGGTGGATATTGATTTGCCTCTGGACTAAAGAGCAAAATCTCATGGGGTGCGGAACAGGAGTCACATATTCCACAGCATTAGGCCGGGCATGCCTGTGATTCTCAGGTCATCTCACACTATCTGAAATAAGCCCAGGTTTATCATCACAGTCTGAAAGTTGATACGCTTTGAGGAGCAGACAGATGGGTTTTTCATTTTTTCCTCTAAGCTTTTCCTGTGCACATGCAGGTCAGCTGGTGTAGTCTGCTAACTCATTTAAAATCCCTCCTGCTTGAGTTTCCTACAGTGATGGAAGCCATTAGTCTTCTTCGTGCATCTGTACCCAGGCTTCCTAGTAGGAAGACCAACGTGTGTGTGTGTGTGTGTGTGTGTGTTATTGCTGTGCCAACCTCATTCAACCCTGAGTTGGTTTGTCAATTAGCTGGAGAAAGTGAGCATTTGCATAATTGTTTCTCTCTGGAATATCCTGCTGAACCAGTGTTGTATTTGTGTGTGCAAGTGAGTTAAACGTCCAATCAGACTTTGTTTTTGATGATCACGTGACATTAAGCTGGTCTCAGCTGAAGAGGACAGGGGATTGGGGTCAGGACATTGTTTGGGAAGAGTGAATAGCACGTTTAGTTTTGTATTTGCATAATGACCAGCTATCCGTTGGCTCGTTTGTGGTTTGCTCAAGTGTTTTATCTAAACATAATTGTGTGAGTTGAGAGGCTTTGAGAGGTTATTCACTCAGTTCTGCTACCTCATGTTAGCTTCAAACGATCATTCACAGACAGCTTTGAGGAGATGGGCCTGGCTTGTTCATATTTGAACAAAAAATGGGTTCAAATAATTCTATCTTTTATGGTAGACGCACACTATTCAACAGTAGGATACCTTTTTGAATCTAGTAATTTTTAACAGTCTATCTATGGCATTCATTTGGGTTTGATATTTCAAGCTTTAAAATGAAAACAGCACACGTCTTTGAGGGGGAGGTACAGAATTAAATTGTATAACGCAGATGATGATTCTGTATCCCACTGTTCAGTGTGGTGGTCGTCATGGCAACAGGCCTTAACTTTTGCTATGGCTTGCGTGAGCAGTGTTGACGTAGGAGACATGAATGGCAAGAGATAATTTGAACTCTTTGTGTTTTCATTTCCCATCTAAATTTTAGGGACTTTAATACATAACAGGAAGTGCTTATATAGGCTTTGAATGTAAAATCCTTGCTCATTTATGCTTTCAATTGAAAATATCAGAATGAAGCCTGTCTGTGTCACAAAACATAGTAGAGGCTCTGGAATGATACAGACAGGTGTGAGTGACCACACATGTGCGTATGTGAGCAAGGCCTGGCTTGCCGGTTTTCCATCTGTCTTTCGGCCACTGTGCTGATCTTCCCATCTCATAAGTGTTCTGATATGACGGGTGAACAGCACAATGCATGATGGGAGAGGCATTTATAGTCCCTCTGTGTGTTTTGTTCCAGGAAAGAGGCGCAGAAAGACTGTAAATGTAAATCCCTGTGTGTCCACTGCTCCAGTTTCCAGTTGGCCTTAGGTCAGAAGTGTAATCGCTCTTTATTTAGCCTCTCTTTCTTCTGAATGACAGAGGCCTGTCCTTGACACATTGACCATGCGAGGATGCTGAGGCACGAGAAAAGGAGCGACCTGGGAACGTAGTTATCTTTCCGAAGAGGCACACAACTAACCAGCTTTCTGAGAAAGATGCCTTTGTGAAATCTCTTGAGACTAGGATGGTCCTGTGGATTTGTCCTCCCCTTTTACTAGTAAAGCTAGATAATACAGCTAAAATTAAAATAGATTTTTTTTGTTGTTGATTTTTGACAATATTTCATATACCAAGATTTATATATTTTTTTCTAGAATTAAAGATTAAATTCATATTTAGAGTTATGTTGAAGCTGATTGTTGCATTTGGATGACCAGAGTTTGAATCCCAGCTCATGGTCCAATCCCTTTCCTTTTCTCTCTCTCTCCCACTTTGCTTCCTGTCCACACTCTCTACTGTGCCTTTATAATCTAAATAAAGGCAAAATCAAAAATTAATCTAAAAAAACTTAAAGTTGATTTGAGTCCACACTCCACATCTATTAGCTTTCACGTTAACTGCTAGTATTCTAAAATGGTTACTTTTTTTAAAAAATGTATTTACTTTGTTTTATTTTTAAACCTATATTTTGACAAAAAAAACACTTTGTAATTATAACCAATTAAATTCAAATAGTTTATTACAAGAACTATAATATGTCAAAAGTGTTCGTATCAGGTCGTAAGAACCCCAGAAGTACAGATAGACAAGAATGCTTGGAGTACCAGCCTGAAGCTGCTGCTGCGATTTACACTACTGGATGTTAATATTCAATATAGGATATGTATATAGTTTGTTCCTGCTTCTTTTTTTATGTTCTGAATTATATATATTTAAAAAAAATATTTTATTTAGAAATGAATTTCACTGTATATAGTCTAAGGTATGAAAGAAATGTATGTACGTTTTTAGAATAACTAATTTCTACATTAAACACAACAATACGCCATCAAATTCGCGACTCTCCTATGATTAAAAGCGACACTTCCGGTTTTCTTCCCGCGGCCGCGTGAAATCAGCGTATAGCAATTGCTGTTTCGTTTCCAACACACGCTGTAAGTGGTAGACTAATCACAACAGATGGGTCATCTGACCAATCAGAGCAGAGGAAGCGCTCGGAAAGGAGGAGTTTAGAGAGAGGGCACTTATCATATGTACCTACTCTGGCAGTATGCGATTTCGGACACTGCCAACACGTAATTATGGTGATATTCAGATACTCACCAGCAAAATCATTACAGATAGTGCTGTATATTGAATATTCATTGTACACTTTCTAGTGTAGTTTTCAACTGATGTCTTGTAGAGAGAAGAGGCTCAGTACTTAGCCCTCCCCTCTCATTTCCACTGAATAATAGATGAAGACTGTGAGATTAGCCAGTGTCCCATAGGTGCAGCTGCTGGTGATTTACTCATTGCAGGGGGCTCAAACGTCCTCATCTGCAGAGAACCTTGTGCTTAATTAAACCATTGACTTTTTTTATGTATAATCCACACCTCTTTTCCTTCTCTCTTAAGTTCTATCCATGCGCACTTTGAAGTGGAAAAAACACCACATTTCTCTATTTCTGGGCTGATCCGTCACTTTTGTTAGAGCAGGAGCAGGAAAGGTTGTTGTTTGGATTGTTGCTATGACAGCAGCAGCATATGCATCCCATTTGTAAGTCACCCTTTTATTTTCCGCCCACCTAGCCAACTGACCTCGCCACCCTGCGCTCTGCTGGTGGAATGTGTTTGTCTGGATCGAATCAAGGCTTGAACATGTTCGGGGCTGTGCCGGGTTCGAGTCAGTCGAGGGGACTGCAGCAGCTGACTTTCTGATACCTATAAATATCCTACTGTAGATTCCTGTGGCCGTGCAGACTTTTGAGCTGCTCACTCCCAGGCTTAGCGTTCTGATGGTGTGGAGTTGTTGAGATGAGGGTCTGGCTGAATATTTGGGACACGCCAAATACCAAACAAGCCTGTAGATTCCTGTTTATTAAGATTGCAAAGGATATGTAGCAGCCTGCTGAGAGCCAATGGATAGTATGTGAGATATGTGTCAAAGAAATCAGGAAAAGTTTAATTGTATTTTAACTGTGAGAAATGGGAAGAATTGTGGGTAGTCAGTCACATGCAACAGGTGGACCTGCTGATCCCACACAAAGACATTTTTGAGTCATCAGTTTTTTTTTACACAGGCCCCACTGGATTGAATGTGTCCTCTCTCAATTGTTAAACAAAAATACCTCCTAAACATGTGGTTGTGGAGTAGTTATGCACATGCGACTCTTTTATTTCTCATTTGACAGACATTTCATTCAATCAGAGGAATTCATGGACATTTTAAATGTTGGTTTACATACGATGGTGATTTATGGACACTTGAAGGCTGACTCAACCTTTCTTGATCATGCAGGGCTTTGATGTCAGGTCAATAAACCTAAGAATAAATAAATAAATATGAATAGAATATTTTTTTTTTCCGTTATTGTACAGTTTGTTTGTCCATAGCTGATTTTAATGTTTACAGTTCACAGGCTGTTTTCTGTGAATTGAGTACACTTTTATGTTCAGTAAATACATTTCTATCATGCAAAAATGATTCAATTCAACATTTTTTATTTTATTATTATACATTATTATTAAATTTACATTACAAATGATATTATCACCATAATTAAAGTAAGTGGAAAGTATATCAGACAGACAGCCATCTTTTCACCTTTCACATTTTTTAGATATTGGTGTCCCATATTTGTCAACTGAAAACCGAATTCTGATTTTTCCTGTCTTTTCCAGTTATTTTGAACCCCAAGAACCCAAAAGAAGCACCCAAATCCTTCAGCTTCGACTACTCGTACTGGTCTCACACCTCAGTAAGTCTCATTTTCTCTCTCTTTCTCCTCCTTTCTTTTTCCTGCTCTTTTTGCTTTTTCTGCTGAGCTTTCTCAGTGGACAATAAAATGTGCATGTGGTCAGATTTACAACTGTAATTAATCATCCTCCCAAAAAGTCTGTATTAATGTCTTTCGTTCCCTTTTCTTCATTTCTTTGCTAGCCGGACGACCCCAGCTTTGCGTCACAGAGCCTTGTGTACAATGACATCGGTAAAGAGATGCTGCAGCATGCTTTTGAGGGATATAACGTCTGCATTTTCGCCTACGGCCAGACCGGAGCTGGCAAGTCCTACACCATGATGGGAAAGCAAGAGGAAGGACAGGAAGGCATTATTCCTCTGGTACGTATGTAATATCACAGCATATGTATCACCTTAATGGATCCAGAGTAAAAGACATGCTTAAGCGACTGAGATGTTTCTGATCTCAAAGACATTAGCGCTCCGTCTAGCACGTCCAGCAGTTATTTGTGCTCTGTATCGATCGCTCTCTCTTTCCTCCCTAATGTGCTCTTTTGTCCGCCTCCCAGCTCTGTGAAGATCTCTTCGAGAAAATCAATGACAACAACAATGAGGAGATCTCGTACTCGGTGGAGGTGAGCAGCAGACACACCACGACTCCTTACTCCATGTGACTCACTCCTGTGACTCACTTCACATGCTCTCCTTAATATGTTGAAATGCTTTTTTAGCTGTGTTACTTAAAAGCATTAAACTCTATAGAGGAGGGGTGATGGGTTTGATCAGAGGCCACTCAAGTTTTCAATAACTCAGAGTAAAACATGTTCAGCTACAAATAAAATGGCAATGGTATTAAATATGCTTTAAGTATTTGCTGTGACGCTATTTAATTTTGGTATGATTTATAATTGGTTTGCAAAGATATACTGAAGACAAGTGAATGCGTCCTGATCTAAAATAGATTTTTAATCTGGTTTTGGTGTATATGCATATATAACATTATAAAAGTCTTTACCCACTTTTGATCAACTTAATGTGTCCTTGCTGAATAAAAGTATTGATTTTGTTAAAAAAATATTACTGACCTCAAAAATTCCACACATTGTCTTGAAAAACCCCCCCAAACCGACAGAGTAGATATTTAATTTATATATATATATATATATATATATATATGTGTGTGTGTGTGTATATATGTATGTATATATATATATATATATATATATATATATTCTCTTTTATCTCGGGTTATATTTTGTAGCTAATTGTTAAATGCTCATTGTAGGTGGCTTACATGGAGATATACTGTGAGCGAGTGAGGGATCTGCTAAACCCTAAGAACAAAGGGAACCTACGTGTCAGGGAACATCCTCTACTTGGGCCTTATGTGGAAGACCTCTCGAAACTGGCCGTCACCTCTTACACAGACATTGCTGACCTCATGGATGCTGGAAACAAGGCTAGGTGAGAGAAAAATCCCATATGTTGTTCCTCATATAAATTATTGTTTTGTACCATGTAGAACATTTCAAATCAGGTACTTATAAAGTTATTTTTTTATTTTTGATGCTGATTTTGAAGGATAGAGGTTGGATTTTTTTTTTTTTTTTATCAAGGGGTAAATAGGAAAACTGTTGTTGTAATGTTTCCTTCAGTGATACTCAGACTGACAGTCATGTGTTAAATGTGACTCTTGGGAAGGAGTAACATGCTTCTAATCCTCCCATGCTGATTACCAAGGTTTATTTGTGGATAATGTTACATGTAAACCCTGTTTCTCATGAGAGCATCCCACCCTGTGCCATATTCGGCACATTAGATGTGCTGATGTCTAATTCCTGCACTTACTAGCACTTTCTAGGATTATCCTCACACTCTGGTGATAAGCACAACAAACAGAGCTGTACATGAACTTCAGAAGTAGGAAACCTCCACCTTCTTCAGGCCAAAGATAAAGAGATAAAGAGACAAAGCCTTGCCTATAATAGAATATGGGTTAGGGGTTGAACGACTTCAGATTTTTTGATATCAACATTTATGTGATTTAAAGTTGAGATGATGTCGATTAATGGCTGATGATGTCATTAATGAACAGATGCAGGTTGCCTTGTGCACAGCTATGGCACATGACACAACGCTGCCCACAAGGCTATCACTCCTACATAACAGCTTTTTATCATTTATTTTGTGTTTGTGTTATATTTCTCAAAGATTTCTGCTTGTTCTAAATCAGATACAGATAAAGTTGCACAGTAAAGATTACATATGAACGCATTATTGACAGACCGCGAGGCGCGAGCCACTGTCTGTATGTGTGTGCGTGCGTTTCAATGTAGCAGCGCATTAGTTTACAACAGCTGTTTTGTAAACTAATTTTACAAAATGTGTTAAATTGAGCATTCAGATAAACATATCTTGTGGAGCGCTCTCGGAGTTTGCATTTATTTGACATTTTAACTGATGGAAATGGAACGTAAAGTGGATGTCAAAGATTTCTTATCCTTTTGTGCCCTCTATAGGCCATGATCAGCGACTAGTCAAATTCAAGCTTAAAGGGTTAGTTCACCCAAAAATGAAAATTCTGTCAGTATTTACTCACCCTCATGTTGTTCCAACCCCGTAAGACCTTCGTTCATCTTCGGAACACAAATTAAGATATTTAGGATATTAAAATCGCTCCTGCATACAGTCCATAGGCTTCTTGAGGGACTGGCTCTTGCTGTCCTCGAAAAGTAATTGAAGACATCGTTAAAATAGTCCAAGTGACTACAGGGGCTCAATCTTAAGTTTATCAAACGACGAGAACACTTTTGTGCGCAAAAAAACAACAAAAATAACGACTTTATTTCAACTATTCACTTCCTTCTCCATAAGCCTATAGTCCGTTAACGTAGTGTGATTGCGTAGAGCTACGTCACACGTAGGCTCACTATTGGTCGACGCTGGTCATGTGTGTGTGATGCGTGTGACGTACAATAACAGAAGCTTACGCTATTAACCCTTTGATGCACAACATGGGTCTAAATAGACCCGACTCAGTTTTCATTTTCTATATCTTTGCAAGAAATTAATTTCATCATTCAGTATTCCAGGTATTCCTCAATTAACTTGTTTTTGATCATCACAAATCCTTATTTTTATTTTTCCTTTCTTACTTTTTGAATAAAAATAGTTTTTGTATAGCAACCCCTCTAATGCGCAACATGGGTCTAAAAAGACCCGTATTCATTTCCTATGGTATTTCAGCGATGGCTGAGTGTTTTCTTTGCTGAATCTTTAAAATATATGTATTTTATAATTTGTTATTCCAGGTATTCATTAAATATCTTGTTTTTGATTTCCACAAATCATTGGGTTTATGTTTCCTTTCTTACTTTATAAACAAACACAGTTTTTGTATTTCTACATCAATTTTACATACATGGGTCTAAAAAGACCCGTATTCATTTCCTATGGTATTTCAGTGATGGCTGAGTGTTTCTTTGCTGAATCTTTAAAATATATGTTTTTTTATCATTTCTTATTCCAGGTATTCATTAAATATCTTGTTTTTGATTTACACAACTCATTATGTTTATGTTTCCTTTCTTACTTTATAACAAACACAGTTTTTGTATTTCTACATCAATTTTACATACATGGGTCTAAAATTACCCATATTCATTTGCTATGTTATTTCAGTGATGTCTGAGTGTTTCTTTGCTGAATCTTTAATTTAAAATATGTTTTTTAATCATTTCTTATTTCAGGTATTCATTAAATATCTTGTTTTTAATTTCCACAAATATTATGTTAGGTTTTTATTTATTTATTTCTACATCAATTTTACATACATGGGTCAAAAATTATTATTAATCTTATTTTATTTTAACCACAGACATTTTTTTTATATATTGTAAAAGATTACAACATAATATCTCAATATTAGGCTATGGTTACCTTGACCTTGTAAACCTAGTGAGAAATTACTTGTGAGGAGAACATGTCCAATACTATTAGCTAGCTAGCTGTTGACATATTCTAGCTAGCTAATGTTAACTATACACTAAAAAAAAGATTGTTTTTTAAAGCTTATTTACATTTAGTAGGCCTAACAGTTCATAATCATTCATATGCTGAAATGATTCTTATACTGAAATCATTCTATGATTGAAATGATGCCCAGCTCTGCTAAAGACAGACAATTCAGCAGCTGGTGTTCCCAGAGCACCAGGCCTGTGTGCAAGGAGCACAAACATGTAGTTGTCATTTGTGAGGCATGTAAGCACTAAGATGGCAACTTGAGATGCCGCTGTACCAGTGTGATTTTATTAGGGCCCAAGCCCTGAAAGGGCGAAGGCCCTATTGTTTTCCTTGGGATTATTTTTCTTCACTATTATTAGGGCCCAAGCCCTGAAAGGGCGAAGGCCCTATTGTTTTCCTAAGGATTATTTTTCTTTACTATTATTATTATAATTAGGGCCCAAGCCCTGAAAGGGCGAAGGCCCTATTGTTTTCCTAAGAATTATTTTTCTTTAGTATTATTATTTTACTACCTTTTTGGCACTTTTGGAGCCCTTACATGCTCAAAAACTCTTGAAACTTTGCACAACGGGTCAGAACCCGCGGCCATCAGAGCCGGGCTGAAGCTGGTACCTGGCGTGGCAGGGGGCTCGTCAGCGCCCCCTGGAACGGGGGTCCGAACACTCTCGGTCCATAACTCAAACACGCTTGCATGTAATAATATGAAACTCGGTACACATGTTGATCTCATCGTTTCATCTATACCTCGCGCTCTTACTTTTTACCCCAGCCCAACAGGAAGTCGGCTATTGAGGTTTGTTTGTAAAACGCTCGCAATGGTATTTGAAATACTCCTCCTAGAGCTTTGATCCAAATTCGACGAAACTCGGTCAGCGTGAAGTCAAGACATTGAGGATGAAAGTTTGCGAGGGGATTTTTGATATCTCGAACGGTTTGTCCGTTGGCGAGGAAATGAAATCATGGCGAGAAACGTGAAACAGGAAGTGTGTGTTTAAAACTTCAGCATACATTAACTGATCTTGATGAAACTTCAGCAGTGTGTTCGCTGTAAGAGGACGATCACATGGATGTGACTATTGTGAGTCAAAGTTATAGCGCCACCAACTGCAGCAGGAAGTGTGTCACTTTCAAAATGCTTTGAAATCACCCTTTTTATTTTTACCCGATTTGCTTCAAACTTCATCTGTATAATGTAAACATAGGGCAGATGTAGACCTGTGAATGGATTCTTGATATCTTTGAAAACTGTTGCCGTGGCGACGCATCAACTTTACCATTCTTTTAGGATGCTTTTGAGACCCTTAGCATGCTTTAAATTGCATGAAACTCGACAGACACATCACATTTATTAGCCAGTAGACATGTGCAAAGTTGCAGAAACGGGCGTGGTGAGGGCTCAGTAGCGCCACCTTTTGACAAAAGTGGGGTTGTTAGTTTTATCTACAGTTACAAAAATCGGTATGTAATATGTACTCCTCGAGCGGACAACTTTCTAATTGACACTCATTAGCTAGGACCCACAGAAAGTCAGATATGTTTGTTTGAATGTAGAGAAAATCTCAGAATTTTTGCCAGTGTCTCAGTGTCCCTCTGTGTGAGTGAGAGGAGGGGCGCCTGTCAGGTTAATTTTAACCCTTTATTTGCTGTGTGCGACTTCTCTGGCATTTTCGGGGGCTT